CTATCTATCTATCTATCTATCTATCTATCTATCTATCTATCTATCTATCTATCTATCTATCTATCTATCACTATCTATCTATCTATCTATCTATCTATCTATTTATCTATATCTATCTATCTATCTATCTCTTCTATCTATCTATCTATCTATCTATCTATCTATCTATCTATCTATCTATCTATCTATCTATCTATCTATCTATCTATCTATCTATCTATCTATCTATCTATCTATCTATCTATCTATCTATCTATCTATCTATCTATCTATCTATCTATCTATCTATCTATCTATCTATCTATCTATCTATCTATCTATCTATCTATCTATCTATCTATCTATCTATCTATCTATCTATCTATCTATCTATCTATCTATCTATCTATCTATCTATCTATCTATCTATCTATCTATCTATCTATCTATCTATCTATCTATTCTATCTATCTATCTATCTATCTATCTATCTATCTATCTATCTATCTATCTATCTATCTATCTATCTATCTATCTATCTACCCTGTGATCACTTCTATTTCCTATGGGAAAGTGATCTTTAATAACTAATTGAATAAAAAAGTTAGACATTCTATGAACACTCTTATTTCTGAACAAGAAAAACGATATTTCTTGTATAAAAATCTTAATAGCAGGCTCAACGTAAATCTACTTTCGATCTGTGATCGCTCTTAAATCTCATAAATTACATTTACAGATCGATTACGATGTCCGTTTACGCAAACAATCTCTCAGTAGCCGTTATCTCGACGAAGATCACATGCGTCAAAACGAAGAATATATGCGTTCAAATCAATTAAGCGCCGACTTCGACATACCCTCACCACCCAAGCAACTCTGTAATAAACTTATCAAATTACGTGGCCCCTATTCTCCTCTAGAAACTAAAATCTTTTCCGCTGTAAGAGTAGGCGAATGGAAATGTGTACAGATAGAAAGAGAATCAGTAAATTCCGTCCTACTCGATACAGATCCACAAGATGTACACGAACGTTTGATGGTGGCAGCTGATGTAACAGAAACACAAACGGGTGAAACTATAATTGCACGTGCTACAACTTTAATGCCAAATATACACGGTTTTGGAGCACTAATGACTATGATGTTTTGCCCCACCATGCAAATAAAACGTAATAAGGAACGTACTAAGTATGTAGCCCTTTTAGCGGGTCTAGGCTATGATGAACACACTTATAAGCCGCTGTATGGTGAACATGATATTGTACTCAATTTGGATGTGGAGATAGAAAAGGAAGATTTTGAAATGGTAAGGAGAGAGTTAGGTAATTTAATGGTATTAATTTTGATAATGTTTTGTTGTTTATGTGTATAGATTAATCAATTGCGTTATTGCATGGATGCCATGCTATTTACGGATCATGGTGATGAACGTCCCAATATCTTGCCTAGTCAAATGGCTGATTTACAAGCTAAAATTAAGGAGATTATAATAAGGTAATAGTAATCTTTGTGTAAATTTGAAAATTTTGCCAAATTGAATGTTTCGAAATCGTTTAAATGTAATTTTCTAATGTTTTTTTTTTTCGTTCTTTTATTTCAGACTTTTAAGTAAAAATCGTAAATATATTGAAACTCACTGCGATGAAAACGACAATGTTTGGCAATATCATGAGCCTACAGAGATTCTAGAAACTGTTTGCATTTTGGGGGAACGCACAATATTTCCCATGTTATCGGCTTTACGTTTATACGATGAAAAATATGATCGTATACAAGCTTTGCTGAGACACTGTGCTGAATTGCATAAATTAAGACAATTGTAAGTAGAATAATATCGAAGAAATTTTACCATACTTAAGCTTGAATTGTTGGAGAAGCTAATTTCATAATCTTTTCTATGTCTTATTTTCTAGTGATGGCTCTATTCAGCCCGTAACCTGTCTGTTGTGTAATCAACCTTTAGAAAATGTTGCTCAATTACGCATACATTTGATTTCACAATTACATCGTGATCGTGAGCAGCAAATACACTTTAAACCTTCTAAAAAATAAAGGTATTTTATATAGTTTTATACATATTTAGTTTATTTTTAGTTTTAAACAAATTATTTCTTGACTTTTAATTGAATAGATCAATTAGTTTTGTTATACTTTTTTGCCATGAAATGGTTTTGTTTTTTTTTATGTTTTATGGACTTATAAAATGAAATTTATAAGCATTTAAATAAAAGTTGTGTTCTTTAAATAAAACTGTATGCGATATTTCAAATCTTGGGCTCAATAAACCAAATAAATAATACAACGAATTAAAACTTTTAAACGTCTAATAGTTTTGAAAATTAAGCTTTAAAATTGTCTTTTTAACAAATTATAATTAAATGGTAACTTCGAGTTGTTGTAACGTCTCGAAAATAGTGAAAAATTGTTTTTTTTTTCGATCACCTATTAGAATTAATCATGATAAATTTAGGATCAAATGATCATTAGTGATGTTATAATTCTTTACTGCCTTCAATGTAAAAATCCAAGGTTTAAAAATCATTCTCCCATACTCCCCACTCTTCTAACAACGCGAGTTGTTGTAACGTCTCGAAAATAGAGAAAATTGTTTTTTTTTTCGATCCCATAGTATAATGAATCATGATAAACTTAGGATCAAATGGTTATTAGCGATGTTTTAATTCTTTACTGTCTTTAAAATCCATGGATCAAAAATCATTATCCCATACTACCCACTTTCCCCATACATACGCTTTCTCCATGCACCCCACTTAAGGTGGCTGGGAAGCCTCCAAATTCCCCTAATTCGGACACTGAACACCAAGCTGTAACCCCTACGACAACTGGAAAAGTTGGATCGTCGAACGAGACTTGTCGCAACGGATATACATTATTGCCTCTGTATCAGAGTCTTGGAAGCAAGTTGGTCGAAGCGCTAACGAGCGAAGAGAAGTAGGCCTTAGGTTACGACAAGGTCCCACAGCTGAACCGGCATGCAGCGGACAAATCTACATCTGCAGGAACTATATGACAGTGTTAGGAGGAGATGAAATTTCTCCAGTAGATCCCACAGCTGAAGACTAATGCGTCCCAGATAGTTAACAGCGAAGTCTTTAAAAATCTCTATTGTTGATATATAATCCACTGAAAAAAGACAGAATCTGAAAGAGAATTCCAGTCCATCAGTCTGTTAATTAGCCAAAGCTAGCGGTGACGTCATTCGGGAAAGTGTGGCCAGGCCAGAAACTCGACGAGGTACCGGTCAGAGAGTTATTCGAGATCTATTGCAAGTGTATCTGTCGAAAGAAAGACGGTCGCAGAGGCGAAGCTAATTTTACTACGGATTTGTTAGTATCAAGCTGTGCAGGGGCGAAGGAAAGATAGCCGAACCCACAAATCCTGACCATAATCGAATAATTACCATATTAAGCACAAGCCTAATTGAAGATCTATTCGATAGCCAGAGTGAAGTGAAGGACGAAGACGAGCTGATGCAGACAGATTCAGTAGACGCCGACGAAACCGTCTTTAACGAATATCACCATGGTAAAGATTATTCAAGTGAACATTTCTAAAGTAACCATCGCTTCTGGGATATCATTGGATGAGTTATTCACTTGACAGCAGCTACTTCTGGAATGTCATCGGAGGAGTCATTAAAAATTGATTTCTGTCATCATAAGACTGTTAAAACCTGTACGCGTAAAAGAAGATTCATTGAAAAGGTAATCTTAACACTTATATCTAACAAGGGGCGAATTGCGACATTCACTATCGACCGAAATAACAATAGAATTCAAATGGTGGTTTCCATTAATGTCAAATGTCGCAATTTGTCTTCAAAAATCATCAGGAGATACGATTTGTTCTGAAAATCCTTTTTAAACCTTCGATGCAGTCGATCACTTTTCTAAGTTATAATGCAATCCACTATGGCTCGTAGAGTTTGGAGACAAATCCTTTAAACCTCTTGAAGCTAACTAAGGAGAAGTGTGTATCGAGGCTAAAATTTCATGCTAAAGCATGATTCGGAAAAATTATTCAAAATTCGAAATTTTGATGAGTAGGGAAGAAGTTACGTGTTTAAAAAAAGATTTGAAGTTACAACGGCCAATATCGGATCAATTTCTTCATATAACTGCTATAAGACCTATGTGTTTTGACTCCATTACTTTTGTTGTTGTTTGTGGACCAGGTTACTGACAGTACGCTTACTGGTATGACATGGAATGTAATCATATATTTCGAGAATTTAGATTGCTGAAGACAATGTTTTCTTTCAATAGTATGACAGCCCATAATCTGACATAGATACACTAAACCGAAAAGAGCGTTTTTCAGTTTCAAAGTATTTCAAAGTCGTGAATCATTTTCGCTTCAGGAAAGTCGATATTGACAATAGTTTGAATCTACTGCCACAACTTCGAAGTCCCTTGGAATCCGCAAGTCGTTCGGTTGGTCAAATAACGTATGTAAATGAATACTACTCAAAGATCGACAGAATACACATAATCGTAAAGCCGCTTTTTAGGAATACCTTTTTGCGATCATTGCAAAAACATGATCGAAATGTGGATAAGTAGAGGGGGTAGTTTTTAACTAATGAAATGGAACAACCTGGAAAAACCTTGTACTCTTTAGAGACTGAAAAGGAATTGAAGATTTCCAAATGGATTTGTAATATACTTTACTAAATTCGTGTTATTCAAGTACACTTCATTAGTGAAAAAAATAAGCATTGCCAGGTCATGGTTCAGTTGTCGTTATCTTCCAAATTGCGTAATTAGTGAACTTTGTGGCCTTTTGTAGCCTTTAGCTCATCAAAAATGATGACGATCAGTACTTTATTTTTAAAGTAATATCTGTCTTTTATTGACCTCATCTTCCGTAAGACGCCAGAAAATAATATTTTTGTAAAGGAAATATTCCATTAGGTTTGCTTGTGGGATTAGGGTTTCATGCAATATCCGACTTCTGAACTAACATATGCGTTTGATCCTTTAACATTCTAAACCATAGAGAAACATAGAGAGGAAACCTGTCAAAGTTTTTTTTGAAAACATAAAGAAGGCTATTCATACATATGGGTACTGTGTATTCAACATACCACCTGTTAGATTTTCCCACAGTCATTTGTCAAATTAAATGTAAATATATTAAATATTTTTAGTTTTGTATAAAAAAATCAAAATTATGTATGTTTCCGTACTCATCTGGATTTCCATTTTTTGTCTTGTGCCGGTTATTGCAGTGATCCCTTCGGGATGGCTGTGGTTTAAACACAAAATTACGGGTTAAATCTATATTTCTGGATAAGTTCGGTGCTGTTGCCGAAAAGATAACAGATACATAAGTGAATATGCTTTACGTGAACACCTGTCGTGTTGGCCTTATACGACCACTGGGTAAGCTTGTTAGACGACTCACCACCACCACTTTGTGCTCCTTAAACTTTGCTCATGTACTCGAGCTACCTAATCTCTGACCATTGCTTAACTACCGAGATGCAAAAACATCACTTCAGTTTTCAACCACGAATGTGTGATTCGGCAATAGCACCTAGAGGCGTAATCAGTGGATACACTGTGGTCTGGTATGGACAGAGTAAACCCTAAATATACCCTGACATGGAAGGCAAATTCATTGGTATCACATTTATAAGATACTTTACATTTACACCATTCAACTCTGCATACCGACACACTCATTGAGACCAACATCTGAGTGGGTAAGGTCCGTATAACCCTACATCCATCCCGTATGATATACATTTGACACCAACTCATTTCCAACACTCTGCGTGGTATCTGTTATCTCAGCTACAGCACCGAACTTATCCCGAATTATAGACTTTACCGTGCACCAGTCTTTTAACCAATATTCTCTTCCCGCGAGTATGGGTTTAAACCGCAGCCACCACGTACATACCGAATGGAACACTCCAATAACCGGGACAAGACAAAGGTGGAAACTCAGCCCCGTGGTATCAAATTATAAGGCTGCCTGGTTCGACTCCTGTTCAAATAATTTCAAGGAATGTCCGATTATGCATTTAGCATCACCAGTTTATAATCCCGGCAAACCGGATTGCATTAACATCAAGATAGGAAAGAGTTGGTGTCAAAGGAATAAGTTACTGAATGAATCAAGGGTATATGGACCTCGCCACACCCATATACTCGTAAGAATGTCGAGTGTTTTCTCTTAAATTTGGGTCACCTAAATCTGTTTATTTTGCCAAAGTTATATAAAATTTAAAAAATTGATAAAAAATTATTGTGGTGAAAATGTCAGAATAATAAATTGAAATGTCGTTACCCAGCAAACACAGAGGGTTCATGTAAAATCGAGAAAGGTTGTAAATCAAACAATTTTTAAATTTTAAAACTCTAAATCGAATTTAAACTTTAAATCAATTTCTCTTTTTAAAGAACCGTAAATGTTTAATATTAAATACAATTAATAACATTTTTCAAACGTTTGATTTTGTGTTTGTTGAGTTATCTCAAATATGGGGAATATACTAATACTACCATAAGTATTTCTACTACTACATTCAATCGACTTAGGTTTTTGACAACAGACTTAGGTCCTTGACAGCAGAGTTTCCGCTCTATATACTCTATGTTCTAAACTACTTAAACTTAGAGCGTGTGCCAAATGATAGCAAAGTTCTATGGTGGATTGTAATTTTCCTATGGTGGGAACATTTTTACATTTTGCTGTGCCAAACGATATCTTTTTTGATTACATTAAATTTTTACAATTGTCACTAATTTCACAAGAAAATCTGCATTTATTTTAATAAATGAAACACTTTTATTGATTTTTTATTATTAAAATAAATTTCTACAATCATAAATGTATTATAAACTAAAATTATAAAATATTTTATTTTTTGTATTTTCAAATTTTTCTTTTCATTTGTCAAAAATTTATATAGCCCTATGAGCTAGTAAAATTTTATTCACCTCATATCTATCAAAAATTTACATTTTCAAGTAAATTGTTACCGATTGGCACACAGTCTTATTTAACAAAATAAAACCAACTTGTTATCATTAATTTTATGCTAAAATGTGACACTTTATTTCTAAACACAAAAATATAGTATAAAGTATTTTCATTATTAATTATTAATTAATTGTTTTTTAACACATGGAACGTTTTAACTTTTTTCTTCTTCTTTGTTGTTATTACTATCATTTATTACTTCTTAATATTATTTTAATAATTGTAGTAGTAATGGTTGTATTTAATTTCTCATTTATTTATAATTCTTAATTAAAGATTTTGTTGATTTTGCTTTATGGCTTCGTTACTCGCACAATGTATAATTGCGCATACTATTCAAAGGTTTACTGCATAAACCACACATTTTATTTTTGTAAACCGAATAAATTTCAAAATTTAAAATATTCAACATATCAAATTGTATGGTCGAATGCATTAGATTATTTTCGACAATTAAGATATTCTGTTCATTTACTTCGATTCTGTAAAGAAGGAAAAGAGTAGATTATTTTCGTTTATGTTTTCTTCAAAATTTGTTTAATTACTTACCTAAAATCATAATTGTTACTTTCTTCCGGATATTGATATGGTTGATGTCGTACATCAATAACTTTTTCATCCTTATTCAATATTATATTAACCGGGGCCTTATCATCGGTACTACTCGATGATTTAAATGTAAAATAGTTCTCTCCTATATACACTCTCAAACCGTAATTAGAACTTAAGCTATTTTCGACAGAGGGCATTAAGAAGACAGCCATTTCACGCAAAGAACTACAGTCGGCCGCTAATAGAGTTAAACAATTCTCAGCTTTGGTTACTTTATGATAATCAGACAAATCAATTAAATAGTCATCGAAACTATTAACCATGCCATTGATAACGGAGCAGGAACCTGTAGAAACACACAAATAGTTTGAGAACTTATACTTTTTTTTAGTAAATCAATTCTGAAACTTACGTTTAACTCCCGAATCATAGGAAATTTCGTGAGAAGCATCATATTTGGAATCAAGTTTTTGTATAAATGGTATATGATAAATACGTCTTCTTACACCATTTACCTCCACGGTCAACCAGAAATAATCATTGGGGGCATTTATTGATACATGTATCTCTTTGTTCATATTTAAACGTTCAACTTTTTCCGCAGAGAAAGAGGAAACAAAATGATCCAAACGTGAGGACCAGAAATCATACCATTCGGGCATCTAAAGAAGTAAAGAAAACATATAATAATATACAAATTATTCACTTCCCCTTTAGTCCATGTTTAGAAAAACTTCTGTATGCTTTAAGACTTACATTATCAAACTGCACATCCATATCGTATTTCGTTATTGAGGTGAAATTTTCGAAATTACTTCTCTTGCAATATTTCGAAGTAGGTATAGGTGAAAATTTCAATACTTCTTTGGGACAAAAACCGGTATCGGTTAAAGGATTATCAGATAATAGGAATTCACGTGCATGATCCGAGGGCTAAAATGACATCATATTTATCATAAAGTTTCTTATAAAACCTTTCATTTTTTGCACTTACCCCTGCTCGGCTACTGAACTGTATACTCGAACCATTAGCGGGACATTCATGATCTGTGGAGGCGTTGCCGAATATCACGGTACCCATAAAAGTGTGTGGACGTTTGGTGAATACCAGGGGAGCGAAAGTAACATTCACGCAGGCCTTAAAAGAAGAAAGTAAAAGTATTAAAAAAATAAACTATTTTATCTTGATTAAGGTTCATTTTCTGAGGAAACTAAAGGCCCTTAGGTCAAAAGGACAACACTTTGTGATCAATTGTATTTCCACTTCAAAATTTATTCTTGAATGAAAGCAAAAAAGTAAATTTTGTAGGAAAATTAGAAGAGATAGGACCAAAACAGCGTTATTTTTAATTGGAACATTTACAAGTCCATTTTGTCAGGACACTAGGGACGCTAGGACCAAATGGACAAAAATCTATGATCACTTTTTACACCAAAAAGTAAAAAAAATTAAAGTCCATTTTTGGAGGAGGCGGTAGGGCCTAAAGGACAAACTTGAAATAGACTTTTTGGGTGAAAATGGACATTTACGTTTCTGAGGAAACTAGAGGTACTAGAGTCAAAAATACAAAAGTCGGAACACACTTTTAATTTTTTACACCAAAAAGTAAAAAAAAATAAAGTCCATTTTTGGAGGAGGCGGTAGGGCCTAAAGGACAAACTTGAAATAGACTTTTTGGGTGAAAATGGACATTTACGTTTCTGAGGAAACTAGAGGTACTAGAGTCAAAAATACAAAAGTCGGAACACACTTTCAATTCCCACCAAAAGTTAATTTTTGAGTGTAAACATGAAAGTTCCTTTTCTGAAGAAACTAGAACCAAATGCAGACTTTTTGGATGAAAAATTAAAAGTTCTTTTTAGGGAAGAAACTAGAGGTGTTAGGGTCAGAAGGTCAAACATCTGTGATCACTTTTATTTCTCACTAAAAAAAGATCATTTGAGTGAAAACATAAAAGTCCACTTTTGAGGGAAACTAGAGATCTTATGGTAAAAAGTGATTAAGTAAGGAAACTAGGGGCGCTAGGACCAAAAGGACATAGAATTTTACCTATTCTTCCTTATTAAGTCTTCAAACTCATATTGATTTCTGTTTGTTTAATTGAATTATCTCGAGAAATATAATTAATTTCCCATACATATGCATGTATGTACTTTAAAAACAAGCATATTTAATTGCCTACATAACTCATGCTTAAATGATATTTATTTGCTGATTATTGCTTTTTCCCTCCTCATGCTACAAAGGATACAACACGTACTACTGTCTAATATATCCTTATGGATCCTTATAAATACCTATAAACCCCAACATACTCCTTAGACTGTTACACGCACGCATTGCTGGCATTTATTGTGGCAACATAATTTTAAATATTAAACTATCACAACAGCAGCAATAAGGATATAATAATGAAAGGACATTTTGTGTGACAAGTGCATAAACTTTACAAGACAAAACACAAGAGAGAAAAAAAAAATACAATAATAAGAAGTAAAAGGACGGAAAGAAGGTGGTAGGTACGTATGCCTAACAGGAAGGGTAGCGGAAATAAGAGACATACAACAGTGAAAACGTGTATTGCTATGGCTGTCAGCCAGTCAACCAGTTAGACAGACAATTTTCCTTGCACGCTAACAAACAATACAATTTACACATAATCACCATGGCAGTATTAAGGACATACAAAATAGTTTTCTTTTGTATGCCCTACACCACTCAAGTGGGGAGGTTATAATGCATTTGCACTGATGTTTGTAATGCATAGACATATGCGTCCTACGCCTGGCTTAAAGAATCTTGTAGTGAAACTATAAAGATTAAGGATATTTGAAACGTTTTGAAATTGGCTTTTGCGTCCAGACGAAAGACGCAAAATTGAGTTCAATTCAAATGACAAATCATGGTATAAACGGCCCATATTTGATCATACTCTCTTAAACTTTTCTAAATCAAGTGAGAAGTTATCGCCGTAGCCTTATCATATATTCGCTCATGACCAACTTTATTTTCCTTTTTCTCCAATTTTCTGTTTGGTTTTCTGAAAATGAAACATGGATATGTGTGTCTGTATATTTACGCCTACAAAACTATGTATGAATGAATAAATGAATGGAATATAATATGAATGAATGAGTATATAAAGAACTGAAGGACATAACATCACCCCTACTACAGAGTCTACAAACGATACTATAACCAGCAACAATGCCACCACCATTGTCTACTGAAATGCCTCTAAAATGCAACGGTAGTGATATTAAGTATGTGGGGAATTTCATATAACGAAATCAAGGATTCAAAATTTAAATAGCTACAATATTTGTTTAATATTATTGGATTATCATTAAACTCTTCTATTTTAATTGATGTTATCCGGTAATGGAAAATCAGATCGGACGTTAACATTCTCTTTATCCACAAAAGTCAGCAAGAGATTCCAAAACAATAGATTTCTCTTGATACTCAAGAACTCGAACTTTCGCAGACTTTACGGAAAAGAGATCATCCGATCTCTTGCTAAACAATTGGTAATATGCACTGCAGTCCGACTGAGCATTACTGATCGAACTTCTGTTTCAGGGGTCACGCGAAAATAATGATCTGCTTCCGAAGCCCTGTGATCCTATTACTGTATTCTGGAATGAAACCCACGGAGTCTCATGAATCTCTTCCTTAAACTGTCGACTGTTTCCAAGTTGACACTGATGGATCCAGAACAATGAGAGGAATTAGCGTCGTCATCTTTATAGAAGAATATGGAAACAAAATGTCGTTTAGACTTAATGATTATTGTACTTTACTTCAAGTTGAAATATCAGCTGCAAGAGATTTCTGATCGGTGTGTATTCAACATCAAAATTGGTCCATGAGTGTAGTTCGGCCTTGGTTAATATTCAGCAGGTGATACCAAATAATTTTTGTAAAATTAAACATTACATACCTCATCAGTTTAAGATCTTATTGAAGACCTGATCAGACTTTCGTAGAGTTCAACTAAGATCTTTCAGTTATTGTCCTTAAACTGAGAGATCAGTTTAAGATTCTTATATAAACATTATAGAATTAAACTCATATTGACAACGATCTATGATCGCCACTTGAGGATCAGATGCTTATATCAACGCGATTGATGGTTTAGAGCGCTTATGCTCGGAGACTTCCTGAACCTCTTTTCAGCATTCTAAAAATTTAGAACCTGCTTGGAAGCTAAAGTTAAGGGGATCCCCAGCTTTGTTGTGGAATATTACAGAGTCTATGAGTTGGCGATTGCAATCGATCTAGTTCTGATACAGTTTCAGAACTTGGCTGGTTTCTGGCGTTTCACTGTCAATCAATGATGCTGGATTTGGCGTTATGCACAGTCATTTCCTATTCAGTCGCTTAATGAAAGGTCAATTTGGAAATTTCATTTCTTCTATAGTGGAGGGGATCCTAAATTTAGTTATTAATAAAGTCGCCTTTGTTGAGGAATATTTCAGAATCTTTAAGGTCGCGGTTGTAATCAGTTCTTAGGTTAAGGTTTTAGTCCAGCTTTCTCTGGCAGTGTATTAAGTTGGATCTCACGTAATGCTCAGACACTTTTTATTCACTTGATCTTCGCCGCTTTTTAAAAGGTCAAGTTTAGAAACTGGCATTCATTCTGGAGCTGAAGGGATTCGAAACTTTGTGTTTGATAAGACCTTCTTTGTTGAGGAGTAAGAACTAGGCTGGATTATAGCGATGCTCTGTCAGTCAATGACGCTTCAGGCATTTCATACTTACTCGATCATTTGGTGCTTTATAAAAGATTCAAGTTAATTCATTCTAAAGCTGACGAGATTCTAAGCTTTGTTTTCGATAAGGCCTTCCTTGTTGAAGATTCTTTCAAGAATCTTTTAGTTGGCAGTAGTAAACGTTCTAGTTCTGATATACATACGTTACAGTTTTAGTTCAGATTTCATACCTGGTCTGAACTAAGCTTATCTCTGCCAATTAATGACGCTGGATCTCCCGTAATATTCACATAACAAATACAGAATTTGTAGGGAACTTAGAGACTCTGATTCCAGATAGAATATCATTAGAGGAAATGACCGTAAGTATCCGTTGTTGCATGGATGGCTCTAAACTGGGCCCTTTGTCGCTAGAGGCCTGAATTAAACACATGGGCGAGAGAATCTGATATGGCCACTTGGAATAATGAAACAGTAGGTGGAACCACAACGATCCTATATAACATCGATGTTAGTATAATGGTACATATTCTGAGTGTAGAAGAGTGAGCATGTGGAAAGAAGAGTGAAACTCTGAAATATATTCTTTGTTCTTTGCTCTGAAACTATATGAAACTCCCCACAACAAAAGAAATAGTTGTACTACTCAAAATCATAGACACACGATTAAAGTTCATAGTGGTCTAGATACGAAAACAGTTGTTGGAAACTTGTCGTTAAATATACATGTGTTTTTTGTTGTGCTATTTACAAATAGTTTGATTTTGGTCGTTCAAATAAAAATAAGTCAATATCCGTCCGTGGCTCGGCTAAAAAAACATCCTCTCGCCACTCACACCACAAAAACGTTTGATCAATATTTTACAAAAAAAAGGAAACAAATCAATCAATCAAAGTAACAAGTGCATACAAATTGAAAACGTTGACATATTTCTTAACAAAAATAAAATAAATTGGATAGATAATATTTTAAAAATAAACTGAAATTATTAAAAAGCTATTAAAACGGGAATTTGGTATTTAAATTTTAAACAAAATGTCCTCGGTAAGTGAAGAAGTTTAGATTATTTTCCTGAAATTTTAAAAGATTTTGTTTCATTTCTTTAAAGATCGAATCGAAACGTGTGCAATATCGCAAATATCTCGAAAGAGCTGGCGTTATAGATGCTTTAAGTAAAGCTTTAATTAAGCTTTATGAAGAACAAAATAAACCCGATGATGCCATACGTTTTGTAAGAAAATTTATGTGTGAAACTTGCCCAGATGATGCACAATTTGATGCCATGAAAAATGATTTAGAAACGGCTTTAAAGAAAATCTCTATATTGGAACAGGATTTGGAAAGATGTAAAGCTTTAATGTAAGTTTAGTTAAAACCATAAAAGTTCTTAAAATAAAATTTTTCGTATTAAAGCAAAAAAACTCCCGAAGAGGTGGCGGAATTATTGGATAGTGGCTTTAAAGCTTTAACTGAAGACGAGGAACGTTCTGCTTCACTTTTGCGCAAATATTTGACGGCTGATTTATTGAGTGAATACAAAACGGTGTTCACGGCGGCTCCTATAGAAGCCTCTTTATTGGATTGCGTTCAGTCGGGCTTTGAACATCATGACTCCTCGTGTGGTGTTTATGCCGCCGATCCCGAATCTTATGATGCTTTTAATAAATTATTCGATCCTGTTATACGCGACTATCACGGTCAATTGGAAAACGAAAAGGAGCAATTACAACCCGATACTGATTTTGGCAATGTAGATGATATAGAAAATCTAGATACTGAAAAGAAATATATAACTTCGACCCGCATACGCATTGCTCGTAATATCGAAGGATTTCCCTATTTTCCCAAACTCTCAGAGAAACAATTCATTGAGGTGGAGGAAAAAGTTAAAGCTGCAGTGGAGTCATTTGATGGTGAATTGGCAGGAGCTTATTTTAGCATGAAAGATATAAGCGCCGAGACACAAGCGGAAATGGTTAAGCGTCATATTCTATTTAAGAAGGGTGATGAGTATCTACAGGATGCTGGTTGTTATCGCTTTTGGCCTATAGGTCGTGGTATTTTCCATAATCCAGCTGAAACGTTTTTGGTTTGGGTCAATGAGGAGGATCATTTGAGAATTATTTCTATGGCAAAGTGTGGGGATTTGGGTAAGTTTTTGTACTTTTTTTCAAAATTGTTTAAATAATAGATAAACTACAACCTGTACCAACCCTCTTCTATATCTATTCGAACCATTCCAGGCGACGTCTACAGCCGCCTCGTTAAAGCACTACAAGAACTCGAAAAGAACCTTGTTTTCGGACGTCATGCTCGTTACGGCAACCTTACAGCTTGTCCCACTAATTTGGGCACCACACTCAGAGCTTCGGTACATATACGACTACCCTTATTAGCAAAAGACACTGAACGTCTAAAGACTATGGCCAAGGATTTAAATTTACAAATACGTGGCACCGGTGGTGAACACACGGCCATAGAGGATGGTATTATGGATATATCCAATTGTAAACGTTTGGGTATTACCGAACATGAACTTGTCAAGTCACTGCAAGAGGGCATTATAAGTCTTATTAAAGCAGAAGAGGAATTAGAGGCGAAAAATTAAAAAGAGTATGAAGAGCAGCAAAAAGGAAGTGTTTTGAAAATTTTCAATTAATGGTAATTTTAGTGGTGTTTTGTTTTTGTTCTATTCGAGAAAGAAATTTAAATATATAAACAACAAGTTTTTTGTGTAAAATTTGTGTACGAAAATATGGTTGAATATCGGGAGAAACCAAAACTTGAATAAGAAGTTTCAGGACAAAAAAGTTATGAAATGTGTTTTGTAAGATATTGCCAAAAAGGACTTCGATAAGCTAAGTATTATTCGGTCCACATATAAATATATTTGAAGAAAAACAGAGAAATCAAAGATACTTATTTTGATTTGTATAAGACTAAAGACTTTAAGAATATAAAAGGGAACCTTAAATGATTTACGGATCTTTTGAAATACTATCAACAAAGTTGGCGACTTTTTCAATTCAATCGGTCCATCTTCATTCAAAAAAAAGTATTTTCTTAAATTTTATAGATAAAATGTTTAATCTCACTTACCTTCCAATCAGTTTGTGGCATTTCGGCTGTCTCTGCTGCTGTACGCTGAACATTACCGGCCAAATTAAACCAACTGGTCTTTTTCGATGATTGGACATCCATATTAACAATCCACTTATGAAGATTTTGTTCCATATTTTGATCATCCGTATGGATGAGAGTAAAGTTAATATTTCGATTAATGCTATCGGAAGATTTCAATTCTTCGGTGCTGCAAATGGCGCCCTCGATCTAAAAAAAAGTAAATGTTATGAATACTAAAACAACACTTCTGTTTAGCTATTTTAATATTACTTACCTTGGTTAATTTTTCATTTGATATCAGGAGAGTAAAGTTACGATCATGCCCTAAATGTATAGAGCTTAATTGGGCCACACCAAAGACATACATAAGGAAATTAATGATCATATTGCGTGAAAAGCCACTAGAGAGGAGATATACATATAATTAATAAAATGGTTTAAATTTTATATAAAAAAAAAAACTACTTTTCCATAAATTCCGATTTCAATAACATGCCCCGATATTTGTTCAGCTCATTTAAGTTGGTATTTATAATAATGGACATGCCTAAATCTTCCATATCGTATTTGAATAATTGAACCTGTTTAAGAAAAAATAGTTTAACAAATACAATATTAAAATTAACTTAAAAACCTCACCACATCATGATGTCTTTCCGGATGCATTATCTCCTCAAACGGTTCATTAGCAGACTTAGTTATCAACCCTCTAGTGGTGGTAACCGATCTTGATTTAAACGATAAACCACTGGTAAGATTAGCCGGCCTATTAAAGGCATATTCCCAACAGCTACCAGCATAATAATTCAAACTCAAGTAGAGTGGAACATAAATCAAGAAACCCTGTTCACGATTAATTTCATGATCCAAATTAAGGAAAGGATTATAACTACGACTGCGGCAAGAAGCATACGACGAATAACGTGCATCAATTTCCAAAGAAGATTTCATAACATTCGGATGATGGAATTGGGTAATATTGCCGCGCAAAGAGGTGAGTACAGTAGTTTGTAGCAAGACATCGGCATTGGTACCCAGAACTGTGGGCACAGCATATTTGGTCATAAAAGGCCATCTGACAGTTTGCATGTTAATATGGCTATCAGCTCTTATAAGGAAGGCAATGCGATCGATTACTTAAAGAGGAAAAATAAATGAGATTAGTTTAGCTTTATAGTACACTTTTAACACTATCAGACTTACAATCTTTATAGGTGATCTTTTGATAGGTGCGCTCATTTAAGTAATAGGATAATACCGCTTTACCCTCCATTTTTAAAATAAATTCTAAATGCAAAGGTTTGGTATCTATAATGGGAGCATCTAATAATTTCAAAAGACTTTGTATGTTAATATATTTCTTAGGATCTCCATTGGTTTTCATAAGAGTTTTGAACATGGTATCGGGCAAACCACGGGCCTTAATATATAACTGTAATTTTGGTAAATAAAATTTTATAACAAATTATTTTTAAATAGATTTTAACACAAAAACCTACCGCCAACTGTCCAGTAAATTTCCCCAAAGCCTCCGTATCAAATTGCAAATAGGCCACCACGGGTAAATCAGATTTAGGATCTCCAACTAATAAAGCCTGCAGCATGGCACCAATACCAAATTTCGAATCACGATAATCGAATATATAATTACCGGTAACCCAATAACGTGGTTCCGGCTTTTGGGGCAAATGGCGATGCATGTAGGACAATAAACGTCTCCTAGAAATTTTGAATAATATAAGAATTGGTTAAAGATTTTCATCTAAGAGAAATTAAGTGAATACATTACTTACAAATTTTGATAACAAGGGTATGTGGTCTCTGAAATACTAGTGATGGTGGTTCTATAGTAATTGATCATATGAGGATCTGTCTCACTTTGTATAATACGGTGAATACTTATTAAACGGGCGGCTGTAGGATTAGAGATCAGTAGCAAAGTTACCGCCGCAACTCTCAATTCTAAACTGGCATTACGAGATTCGAAGATGGGCCAATAGATTTCATAGATCTTGGGAATGAATATGAAATGAATGCGATTAAAATCTTCAATTTAATATTTATCTTCAATTAAGTTCTAGGTCCGTTCGTGTTCTGTTCTGGTTCAGTTCTAGTCCAGTTCTAGTTCAGTTCTAGTTCAGTTCTAGTTCAGTTCTAGTTCAGTTCTAGTTCAGTTCTAGTTCAGTTCTAGTTCAGTTCTAGTTCAGTTCTAGTTCAGTTCTAGTTCAGTTCTAGTTCAGTTCTAGTTCAGTTCTAGTTCAGTTCTAGTTCAGTTCTAGTTCAGTTCTAGTTCAGTTCTAGTTCAGTTCTAGTTCAGTTCTAGTTCAGTTCTAGTTCAGTTCTAGTTCAGTTCTAGTTCAGTTCTAGTTCAGTTCTAGTTCAGTTCTAGTTCAGTTCTAGTTCAGTTCTAGTTCAGTTCTAGTTCAGTTCTAGTTCAGTTCTAGTTCAGTTCTAGTTCAGTTCTAGTTCAGTTCTAGTTCAGTTCTAGTTCAGTTCTAGTTCAGTTCTAGTTCAGTTCTAGTTCAGTTCTAGTTCAGTTCTAGTTCAGTTCTAGTTCAGTTCTAGTTCAGTTCTAGTTCAGTTCTAGTTCAGTTCTAGTTCAGTTCTAGTTCAATTCTAGTTCAGTTCTAGTTCAGTTCTAGTTCAGTTCTAGTTCAGTTTAGTTCAGTTCTAGTTCAGTTCTAGTTCAGTTCTAGTTCAGTTCTAGTTCAGTTCTAGTTCAGTTCTAGTTCAGTTCTAGTTCAGTTTTAGTTCAGTTCTAGTTCAGTTCTAGTTCAGTTCTAGTTCAGTTCTAGTTCAGTTCTAGTTCAGTTCTAGTTCAGTTCTAGTTCAGTTCTAGTTCAGTTCTAGTTCAGTTTTAGTTCAGTTTTAGTTCAGTTTTATTCAGTTCTAGTTCAATTGTAGGTCAGTTCTAGTTTTAGTTCAGTTCTAGTTCTAGTTCAGTTCTAGTTCAATTGTAGGTCAGTTCTAGTTCTAGTTCAGTTCTAGTTCAGTGCTATTTAAAATAAACTTTTACTCACCCTTTCCGCACGATCGGGAGCCAAAGATAATGTAGTCCAGGCAGCCAAAAATTTAATGTCTTGATTCTCCTCCCCATTGCTAACGATAGGATCTAAATAATTGGCCACATTGCCAACCTGTAAATTACTTAGACCTTGCAAATATAACATCTTGCTGTCATAGTCCCGCGAATCTAAAATAACAAAAAAATTGGATAAATCTACCAAAAGTATAACTCGACAACTTACCCAAATATAAATTGAAATATTTCTGAACATAATCCTCGAAAACATCTTTATTAATCCCTCCAGCTATGTGAACATTATAAACCAAAGTAGCAAAACTTAAAACAGCTGCCTGCATAACATCGGGTCGTTCGGGTCCCAGATTTAAGAAATCCTCACAACCCTTAATTAAATCATGTGATAACTCGAATATATGAAAAGGCATAGAGACGATCAATTGTACAGCAATAGTGGATTTTATTTCCTTTTTCTCTACGACCAAATAACGTGTTAGGAATACCGAGGCTTTGGTACCAATTCTGGGTATAATTTCATGGAATATATTGCGTATAGTTTCCTGTCTATACGATGTACCAATGTCCACTTCTGTATACAATTTCTTCAGCGATTCATAGTCCATTTCTGTTAAAAGTTTAATCACATCCGATACTGTGGAATCATAGGGTTCACTAAATTTATAATTGGAATTTTCCAGACCCTCAGCTAAACTATCAAGTAGGCGGGATGCAGCACTTATAAGATTTTCTTGTTGTTGAGGAAAACGTCCACCAGTGGGATCATTCAATTCAACTGGCAACAGTTGTAAACCGGATACTTCATCCGCCATAGAAGTTTCAATATCTATGGGATTGTCAATGGAGGTTTCATTTAAAAAGTTTAAAAGTAATCTGTGAAAAGGATAAAAAAGTGTTTTAAAGGTTGAGAAATTAGTTCTTAATTAATCTATATTTTTAACATACTCCGAATTAATAAACTGCGCTTCACCCGTGGACTCAAAAGTGTGTATAAGCGATGAACCCTTAACATGAGCCATACTCAAAAAGTAACCGGTTTCGGCATGAGGCAACATGCCAAATATGGCCTCATTGCCGCTTATAACATTCTGTTGAAAATCAAATTTACAAGTATTTGTGGGAACATTGCTGCGTGTTACATGTATGGACTCAGCATAGGGTTTACATGAACTCAACTCGGGGGTTTTACGTATGGAGATATAATTTGTTTTATTGGAAATAAAATATTCCGTTAAACATTCACCATGTATGCCCATCTGTTTAAGATAAAATTTGAAATAGTTTGAAAAATATTATTATTATTGAATTTCAGAATAGCAGCTTACCTCATCCACTACAAATGCTCCCGATTTCTTGGTCTGAAATTGTATCATTGAGGCAATGGCTCTTTTAAAGTTTGTCGACCATATGGGATCCGTTTCTTTGAATACCAAGTGTGATATAGTGCCATCGGGATTTAAGGCAATTTTAAAGGGTTTATAGGCAGGATACATGTCTTTGTTTTGCAAAAATTTTTCTCCCGAATTGTTGAGAGTAACATCGTCTATGACAAGCTGTAAAAGATTAAATTATATAATTATAAAATCGGATATTAGACATAGATCAAATTAATATTAGAAACAAAGCAGTAAAATTTTGAATGCATCTTCAGCGTTCTAGTTCATTTTAAGTTCAGTTCAGGTCTAGATCAGATCCAGTTCAGTTCATTTTAAGTTCAGTTCAAATTCAGTTCTAGATCAGATCCAGTTCAGTTCTATTTAACTTCTAGTTCAGTACTAATTCACTTCTAGTACAGTTCTAGTTCAGTTCCAGTTCAGTTCCAGTTCACTTCTAGTTCAGTTCTAGTTCAGTTCTATTTCAGTTCTATTTCAGTTCTATTTCAGTTCTAGTTCAGTTCTAGTTCAGTTCTAGTTCAGTTCTAGTTCAATTCTAGTTCAGTTCTAGTTCAGTTCTAGTTCAGTTCTAGTTCAGTTCTAGTTCAGTTCTAGTTCTAGTTCAGTTCTAGTTCAGTTCTAGTTCATAGTTCAGTTCTAGTTCAGTACTAGTTCAGTTCTAGTTCAGTTCTAGTTCAGTTCTAGTTCAGTTCTAGTTCAGTTCTAGTTCAGTTCTAGTTCAGTTCTAGTTCAGTTCTAGTTCAGTTCTAGTTCAGTTCTAGTTCAGTTCTAGTTCAGTTCTAGTTCAGTTCTAGTTCAGTTCTAGTTCAGTTCTAGTTCAGTTCTAGTTCAGTTCTAGTTCAGTTCTAGTTCAGTTCTAGTTCAGTTCTAGTTCAGTTCTAGTTCAGTTCTAGTTCAGTTCTAGTTCAGTTCTAGTTCAGTTCTAGTTCAGTTCTAGTTCAGTTCTAGTTCAGTTCTAGTTCAGTTCTAGTTCAGTTCTAGTTCAGTTCTAGTTTAGTTCTAGTTCAGTTCTAGTTCAGTTCTAATTCAGTTATAGTTCAGTTCTTGTTCAGTTCTAGTTCAGTTCTAGTTCAGTTCTAGTTCGGTTCTAGTTCAGTTCTAGTTCAGTTCTAGTTCAATTCTAGTTCAGTTCTAGTTCAGTTCTAGTTCAGTTCTAGTTCAGTTCTAGTTCAGTTCTAGTTCTAGTTCAGTTCTAGTTCAGTTCTAGTTCAGTTCTAGTTCAGTTCTAGTTCAGTTCTAGTTCAGTTCTAGTTCAGTTCTAGTTCAGTTATAGTTCAGTTCTTGTTCAGTTCTAGTTCAGTTCTAGTTCAGTTCTTGTTCAGTTCTAGTTCAGTTCTAGTTCAGTTCTAGTTCGGTTCTAGTTCGGTTCTAGTTCGGTTCTAGTTCAGTTCAAGTTCAGTTCTAGTTCAGTTCTAGTTCAGTTCTAGTTCAGTTCTAGTTCAGTTCTAGTTCAGTTCTAGTTCAGTTCTAGTTCAGTTCTAGTTCAGTTCTAGTTCTAGTTCTAGTTCAGTTCTAGTTCAGTTCTAGTTCAGTTCTAGTTCAGTTCTAGTTCAGTTCTAGTTCAGTTCTAGTTCAGTTCTAGTTCAGTTCTAGTTCAGTTCTAGTTCAGTTCTAGTTCAGTTCTAGTTCAGTTCTAGTTCAGTTCTAGTTCAGTTCTAGTTCAGTTCTAGTTCAGTTCTAGTTCAGTTCTAGTTCAGTTCTAGTTCAGTTCTAGTTCAGTTCTAGTTCAGTTCTAGTTCAGTTCTAGTTCAGTTCTAGTTCAGTTCTAGTTCAGTTCTAGCTCAGTTCTGGTTTAGTTCTAGTTCTGTTCTAGTTTGGGTATAGTTCAGTTCTAGAGGAAGAAACATTATATTTTAATTTAATTATTTCAAAGGAAGAATTAATCCTTGAAATAAAACGTGACGGATGCCCCTTTACTTGAAAATTTACATCATTCTGAAAAAAGCCATATGTCGAAATTTAAAATCCAACATACATACTTCTTAAAAAAATCTCAATTAAAATTCGTATCAGAAGAAAATTATGTTATTATACTATGCACGAGTATATGATGAACGAAGAAAAAAACTCTCAGCTGTTTTCAGCTGATAACAAAAAATCAAAACTCCCACGATCAAAAGCAAAGGTCAGCAGCAACAATTATGGAAGCAAGAAATCATATTTTTTCTTAACATACACTTCATAATTCCCAACAGCAGCAGCATCATCAACATGATCGCCATTACCAGCATCATCTTCAGCATCAATATCATATGGTTGGTGTTGGTTGTTGATAACGTCCAGTCCAAAAGCATTTTTCATGTATTTTTTATTGTTTGTTTAAAAAGAAATTAAATTGATTATTTCTTTCTTTTTTACGATAAGAACGAAGAAGAACATACTACATCGAGACAAACACACAAAAGAACAACAACAGCAAAAGAAAAAAAAATGATCTGAAATATTTTGCATACGAGGAGTAAATTGTAAATTTATTTGTATACTACACACATGCTGAGATTGAATCGAATTCAAGGGTTCAAAAAGGTTGTGTGTAGTACTATGTTGGGAGAAAAAGATCACAATTAATTGAATTCAATTTCAAATGGCAATTAATTTGCACTTTTAAAACAACAAAAATAGAATAAATTTCGATCGAAGAGAGAAATAATTTAATGTAAGTAAGTATATACCTCGAGTTATGAGTAAGACTAAGCAAGTCCAAATTTGTTAACTCAATTACATATAGTGAAATAACTGGGGCAGAGTAGAATTGATGTTAATTTCCCTGGTGCTATTCGATATCGAACATTTTAGAGTAAATTTCGATAACTAAATATATACGAAAGCATTTTGATCAGGTATTGAAGAATTATTGATCAGGTATTAGAATGGATGAGATACTAAACATTAAAAAATTATAAATAGTCAATATGTGGACCAGTTTAACTCTAACAGTATAGGTTTAAAATTAAAATCTTCGCCGGAAAATAAGGAGATTTAACTCTTTCACATATTTATATGTTAAATCGGTGTACCAAGATATAGATATAATATTGACCAAAATATTTGTATACTCACTATCAAAAAAGATGATGAATATATTGATTTTGTCATTCCCTTTGTAACCCCATTAAAGTCTCCTTCAGAAAATGACTTTAACGCTCATTACTGGCTTAAAAATACGATGAAATTCGATATAAACAACTTTTGTAGGAACTGAAATCTTCCCAGCGAATAACATAACGATCGATCAATAACTGATCCTATAAGGCCCTTTTCAGAAAATGACTGACTTAAAAATACGAAACGCAATTTGACACAATTTAGTTTTTTAACGAAACAAAATCTATATAGGAAATTTTATGAGGATCGGCCCATAATTGACCCCCCACGCACATAAGGCCCCATTCAGAAAATGACAGACGCTCACTACTGGCATAAAAATTCGACATAAACAAGTTCTGTATGAACCAAAATATATCTATAAAATATAAAGATCGGTCCATAATTGATCCTACCCCTATATAAGATCCTCTTTAGAAAATAATTTTAACTCTCATAACTGTCTTAAAAATACGAGTACAGCGATGAAATTCAATATAAAAAAGTTCTATATGAACCAAAATCTATAAAATTTTATTAGGATCGGTTCATAATATATTCTATCCCCTTTAGAAAATGATTTTAACGCTCATTACTGGCTTAAAAATTCGAGTACATAGAGAAAATTCGACATAAAAAAGTTTTATAGGAACTGAAATCTTTCTAACGATCTTTCTCCTCTTTTGATGAGGATCAGTCAATAACTAGTCATGCAATATTTAATCAGAGTTTAAAAAATAAAAAAGACCTAATATATATTTTTGAATTTTGGAAATTGGATTCGTTTAGGTTTTGTCTAGATTCTAGTATTTATATAAAACCAACAAAGGTCAGTTTATATCTATAATTGATTATATATATTTTTAGTTTTTATTGATTTTAAAAATGGTTTCGGTTGGGTTTAAATCATCAACAAATTATAATTTATTTTATCCCAAAGAGTTTCTCCAAAAATAAGAGTTTTTTTTTCAAAAAAAAAGAGTATTGAATTAATGTGAACTAAGAAATTTTCCTAATTTATTTATTAATTTTTTTAATTAAAAGAGAACTGTTTGTTGCTAAACTTACCGCTGCCGCCAAAGTATTATTATTCTGACGTTGTAATGTCAATTTACCGCGTACAATCCAACCGGTAGTAGGTGGCGCCGGTAATTCTTCTTCCTGCGGCGCTTTAGCGCCCACTTGTACACTGCCCACATATTCGTATAGCATTTGCTTGTTTAAACCGATAATATTGAAAGCATTTTGTGATACCGGGAATAGCAGAAACAGATCTACAATTTCATTCAGAATTAAATTAATAAAAAACGATTTAAAATGTTTCAATGTATTTATTTTTTTTTAAGTAAAATACAAACAAAACAAAAAAATGCTAATAAACTTTTAAAAGATCTTTTTAATAAATATCAAACATATAGTAATTTTGTTGTTGTTTTATTGCCATTATTAAAACAAATTTAATTTCACTACAAAAAAAAATTTATAATAATTCTTTATCAACACAAAATAATTTAAAATAAATGAAACACAAATCGGCTTCAAATACAGAGTAATAATGTCGAGAGAAATTTAGATTTTTTTTTGTTAATTTATAGAAAATTTTCTATTTTTTTATAGAAAATTACGTCATTTTTATAATTATTTATTAAACTTTTTATTTAAAAATTTATTGTTCCATTTGAATTTTAAAAAATTCAAATTTATTTTAAAACCAATACATACACACTAATACTGAGCACTTAAAGCGCTTCATTTTATAATTTTATCTGAAAACTTTAGTTTTGGTTTTTATAAAAGATTTTATTATAGTTTTCAAAACCGTTTGAAAAGTTTTAAAACTTATTATATTAAAAAAACACTTTCCGCTTTTAATATTTCATTTTATATAAACTTTTTCAAAGATCGGGGTTTAATTGTTGCAGTGTTGGTTGTCTGATTATCTTTTTTAAAAAAAGTCCAATTTATTATAATATATTTAATGATAAAGTTTTCTTATATATTTTTTGTTGTTTTTTTTTATATATATATTTAAAATCACAGTTTTCAAGTTTCCGTATTTTCGAATAAGTCCAAGTGTTGTGCTCGCGTTTTAAACTGCTACTGATCTTGAAACTCAAAAAGTCTGTATAAATTTGAATATGGTTCGTAATCAACAATTACTTTTCTTGAAAAATATTTACAAAAAGTACTCTTAGTAAATTTTCTTAAGAGAGCGAGAGAGTGTGACAAAGAGAGAGAGAAAGAGTTTTTCTCTTGATTTCTCTTTTATATTTATGTTTGAAAAGGATTTTTAACGGTAATTCCAGGCATGGAAAATTAAGTACTTTAGTACATTTCAACATAAAAAAATACAACGAACCGAAAAGACATTTTTGGTTCTTTTCCTAACTTTTAAATTGGTCCATAAACCAGTATAGTCCATGCTCTATAGTCTAGTCTAAGTCTTGTCTATAGTTAGTGTATTGTCTAGTCTATAGTCTAGTCTATAGTCTAGTCTATAGTAGTCTAGTCTAGTCTATAGTCTAGTCTATAGTCTAGTCTATAGTCTAGTCTATAGTCTAGTCTATAGTCTAGTCTATAGTCTAGTCTATAGTCTAGTCTATAGTCTAGTCTATAGTCTAGTCTATAGTCTAGTCTATAGTCTAGTCTATAGTCTAGTCTATAGTCTAGTCTATAGTCTAGTCTATAGTCTAGTCTATAGTCTAGTCTATAGTCTAGTCTATAGTCTAGTCTATAGTCTAGTCTATAGTCTAGTCTATAGTCTAGTCTATAGTCTATAGTCTAGTCTATAGTCTAGTCTATAGTCTAGTCTATAGTCTAGTCTATAGTCTAGTCTATAGTCTAGTCTATAGTCTAGTCTATAGTCTAGTCTATAGTCTAGTCTATAGTCTAGTCTATAGTCTAGTCTATAGTCTAGTCTATAGTCTAGTCTATAGTCTAGTCTATAGTCTAGTCTATAGTCTAGTCTATAGTCTAGTCTATAGTCTAGTCTAGTCTAGTCTATAGTCTAGTCTATAGTCTAGTCTATAGTCTAGTCTATAGTACTAAGTCTAAGTCTAGTCTATTAGTCTAGTCCTATAGTCTAGTCTATAGTCTAGTCTATAGTCTAGTTCATATAGTCTAGTCTCTAGTCTAGTCTATAAGGTCTTATGTCTATAAGTCTCGTCTATATTCTAGTCTTATAGTCTAGTCTATAGTCTAGTCTATAGTCTAGTCTATAGTCTAGTATATTCGTTAGGTCTATAGTCTAGTCTATAGTATAGTCTATAGTCTAGTCATATTACTAGTCTCTCGTCTAGTCTATAGTCCTAGTCTATAGTCTCGTTCTAGTTATAGTCTAGGTCTATAGTCTAGTCTATAGTCTAGTCTATCGTCTAGGTCTATAGTTCTAGTCTTATGTCTAGTCTAGTCTAGTCTATAGTCTAGTCTATAGTCTAGTCTATAGTCTAGTCTATTCGTCTAGTCTATCGTCTAGTCTATAGTCTCGTCTATAGTTCTAGTCTAAGTCTAGTCTATAGTCTAGTCTATAGTCTAGTCTATAGTCTAGTCTATTAGTCTAGTCTATAGTTAGTCATAAGGTCTAGTCTATAGTCTAGTCTTATAGTATAGTCTATAGTCTAGTCTATAGTCTAGTTCTATAGTCTAGTCTATAGTCTAGTCTATAGTCTTAGTCTATAGTCTAGTCTATAGTCTAGTCTATAGTCTAGTCTATAGTCTAGTCTATAGTCTAGTCTATAGTCTAGTCTATAGTCTAGTCTATAGTCTAGTCTATAGTCTAGTCTATAGTCTAGTCTATAGTCTAGTCTATAGTCTAGTCTATAGTCTAGTCTATAGTCTAGTCTATAGTCTAGTCTATAGTCTAGTCTATAGTCTAGTCTATAGTCTAGTCTAGTCTATAGTCTAGTCTATAGTCTAGTCTATAGTCTAGTCTATAGTCTAGTCTATAGTCTTGTCTATAGTCTAGTCTATAGTCTAGTCTATAGACTAGTCTATAGTCTAGTCTATAGTCTAGTCTATAGTCTAGTCTATAGTCTTGTCTATAGTCTAGTCTATAGTCTAGTCTATAGTCTAGTCTATAGTCTAGTCTTTAGTCTAGTCTATAGTCTAGTCTATAGTCTAGTCTATAGTCTAGTCTATAGTCTAGTATATAGTCTAGTCTATAGTCTAGTCTATAGTCTAGTCTATAGTCTAGTCTATAGTCTAGTCTATAGTATAGTCTATAGTCTAGTCTATAGTATAGTCATAGTATAGTAATAGTCTAGTCTATAGTCTAGTCTATAGTCTAGTCTATAGTCTAGTCTATAGTCTAGTCTATAGTCTAGTCTATAGTCTAGTCTATAGTCTAGTCTATAGTCTAGTCTATAGTTTAGTCTATAGTCTGGTCTATAGTCTAGTCTATAGTATAGCTATAGTATAGTCTATAATCTAGTCTATAGTCTAGTCTATAGTATAGTCTATATTATAGTCTATAGTCTAGTCTATAGTCTAGTCTACAGTCTTGTCTATAGTCTTGTCTATAGTCTAGTCTATAGTCTAGTCTATAGTCTAGTCTTTAGTCTAGTCTATAGTCTAGTCTATAGTCTAGTCTATAGTCTAGTCTATAGTCTAGTCTTAGTCTAGTCTATAGTATTAGTCTATAGTCTAGTCTCTAGTCTGTCTATTCTAGTCTATAGTCTTAGTCTATAGTCTAGTCTATAGTCTAGTCTATAGTCTTGTCTATAGTCTAGTCTATAGTCTAGTCTATAGTCTAGTTTATAGTCTAGTCTATAGTCTGGTCTATAATCTAGTCTATAGTCTAGTCTATAGTCTAGTCTATAGTCTAGTCTATAGTCTAGTCTATAGTCTAGTCTATAGTCTAGTCTAGTCTATAGTCTATAGTCTAGTCTATAGTCTAGTCTATAGTCTATAGTCTAGTCTATAGTCTAGTCTATAGTATAGTCTATAGTCTAGTCTATAGTCTAGTCTATAGTATAGTCTACTAGTATAGTCTATAGTCTAGTCTATAGTCTAGTCTATAGTCTAGCTCTATAGTCTAGTCTATAGTCTAGTCTATAGTCTAGTCTATAGTCTAGTCTATAGTCTAGTCTATAGTCTAGTCTATAGTCTAGTCTATAGTCTAGTCTATAGTCTAGTCTATAGTCTAGTCTATAGTCTAGTCTATAGTCTAGTCTATAGTCTAGTCTATAGTCTAGTCTATAGTCTAGTCTATAGTCTAGTCTATAGTCTAGTCTATAGTCTAGTCTATAGTCTAGTCTATAGTCTAGTCTATAGTCTAGTCTATAGTCTAGTCTATAGTCTAGTCTATAATCTAGTCTATAGTCTAGTCTATAGTCTAGTCTATAGTCTAGTCTATAGTCTAATCTATAGTCTAGTCTATAGTCTAGTCTATAGTATAGTCTATAGTCTAGTCTATAGTCTAGTCTATAAGTCTAGTCTATAGTCTAGTCTATAGTCTAGTCTATAGTCTAGTCTATAGTCTAGTCTATAGTCTAGTCTAGTCTATAGTCTAGTCTATAGTCTAGTCTATAGTCTAGTCTATAGTCTAGTCTAGTCTATAGTCTAGTCTATAGTCTAGTCTATAGTCTAGTCTATAGTCTAGTCTATAGTCTAGTCTATAGTCTATAGTCTAGTCTATAGTCTAGTCTATAGTCTAGTCTATAGTCTAGTCTATAGTCTAGTCTATAGTCTAGTCTATAGTCTAGTCTATAGTCTAGTCAGTCTAGTCTATAGTCTAGTCTATAATCTAGTCTATAGTCTAGTCTATAGTCTAGTCTATAGTATAGTCTATAGTCTAGTCTATAGTCTAGTCTATAGTCTAGTCTATAGTCTTGTCTATAGTCTAGTCTATAGTCTAGTTTATAGTCTAGTCTATAGTCTGGTCTATAGTCTAGTCTATAGTCTAGTCTATAGTCTAGTCTATAGTATAGTCTATAGTATAGTCTATAGTATCGTCTATAGTCTAGTCTATAGTATAGTCTATAGTATAGTCTATAGTATAGTCTATAGGATAGTCTATAGTCTAGTCTATAGTCTAGTCTATAGTATAGTCTATAGTATAGTCTATAGTCTAGTCTATAGTCTAGTCTATAGTCCAGTCTATAGTCTAGTCTATAGTCTAGTCCATAGTCTAGTCTTTAGTCTAGTCTTTAGTCTAGTCTATAGTCTAGTCTATAGTCTAGTTTATACTCTAGTCTATAATATAGTCTATAGTCTGGTCTCGGCTTTAGTCTAGTTTAAAATTTTAAATTTTCCATGTCTGATTATGCCTATTAATATTTTCTCTCATTTTCCTCTCCCAGCACGTTATCATTTTCGCTCTTTTTTGAAATTTCTAAAAGTAACTGACCATTTAAATTAATTTATTTAAATAATTTTAAAATTATTATTTTTTCTATGTGTCCGTCATTTTGCCTTTCTGCATAAGTGTGAGTGGTGTGCACTTTTCCTTCATCCATTTGTGATTGCGGCTGCTGATATTCTCAAGAAGGGCTTGGATTTTCTTAATGATCGGGTTTTTTTTTTTTCTTTAAAAATTTCAACTTCATTGTTGCCAGTTGCTTCTATATTGTCTGTCTGCCCATCTGTGAGAGCGAGTAAGAGTTTGAGGCCAGTGTGATTACAATTCATTATCAGCTTCAAGTTCATGTAGATTAAGTAATAAAACCCGGAGGAAGAAAGATACACAGACGCACACACACATGAATTTGTGTGTGTTGCATATGTTTACTATTGTTGCATGATGCACTTTTTGCAGTCCCAATCTGTGTGAAGTCATTAAACTAAACGTTATGCTGTTTGTTTGTGCGTTTTTGCCTGAGTTGAGAAAATCCAATGAAAAAAACCCATTGTATTACAATTCGAGTTAGTCCGTTAGTCAGCCAGCCAGCCAGCCTGCTCGCCAGCCAGTATGGCGCAGCAAATTAAAGTCGTATTAGAAGATAAAGAAAATAATGGAACTAAAAATATACATACAGGGTGTTGATAACTGTTAAACAAGAGCGAATTTAGTTCAGTTCTTGTTCAGTGCTAGTTCAGTTCTAGTTTAATTTTAGTTCAGTTCTAGTTCAGTTTTAGTTCAGTTCTAGTGCAGTTCT